GCGTGGCCACGGGTGTCACTCAGGGCATGGTCCCGCCGGGCTGTGGGTCACAGCCCACCCGTGGGTCCTCGCTCTCCTCCCCAGAGAAGCCTGGCAGCAACGAGAGAGGACCTTGCCTTCTGGAAAGAGCACTACACCACGCTCAAAGCCGAATTGACCAAGATGACCACGACGCACACCGAGCTCGAGAACAGCTTCCACGTTTTGCAAAGTGAACTGCAGGTACATTAGTTCCCCTCAGGAACAGCATCCACAGGAGTTTGCATTTTCCGATTTGCAAGCAGGGAAGCCCCCAGGCTGAGATCACTACATAAAAAAAGCCCCTTTGATGAAGCACAGTGGCCGTACGTGCAACCCTGTCCTCAGCTCGGGGCTGCCTCTCTCTGCTGGAAAGCCGGCAATGCCATGGGCTCACTGTCTGCCCATGGCACGGTGCTGGGGCTGGACTGATGGAGGGGCTCTTCTCACCCCCAGCGAGCGGCGGGGCAGAACGAGCAGCTCCATCAGGCCCTGTGCAGCCTGCAGAGCGAGCACGCCGCGCTCCACCGGCAAGCCAGCGCCTTGCGGGAGGACAACGACCTGAAGGCAGAGCACATCAGCGCCATCAAAGGTATCACGTGCAGGGGAACGGTGGGGGGTCTGTCCTCCAAAATACATGGAGGATATATGGAAAATACTCTTTAAAATTCTGGTCCTTACAGCCAAACATGCACACACGCAAAAGATTCACGCGCTCTGAATGTGTTGCTCATCTCAGCTTGCCGAGAAAGCCTCTGGTTTCCAAAAGGCTCCTAAAGTAATTTCCAACTAGATTAAAGGACCTCAGAGAAGTCAAGTGACTTGGCTAGAAGAAAGGATAGAACGGGAGACCTGGAAAAAAAAAAAAAAAAGAGTCCTCAGCTTTGATGAGGACTTTAGCATTCTTTGTCAGATCCATCAAACGCAGCAATGCAAGCTGCACAATGCAAGCCCACACCGGTGAGGAGGCAGCGCCTGTTACCATCTGAGGTGTCTGCATGGTGGTGGATATTAGCAGCATATAAACACATGCTAATAGAGTCTTAAAAGACCAGTGCAGATAGAGGCAAGGAAACTTTAACAGCAAAAAATCACATCCCTTCAGAGAAGAAAGTCCAGCGTAGGCAACAACATCCAGCCCACTTTACACATCTGGAGAAAGGGAAAGTTGCCATCCTTACATAAACATACACAGAGATTTACATCCACCTTGATTTTTTTGTTATTATTATTTCAGATAAATTGCAAAAAGAACAACGTCAGAAGGTAATGCTGGAGGCAACAATCAGCCACTTGCACAGTAAGTGACACAAAGTGCAAAGTGAGAGACCTGCGTTAGCGCTGTGGATGGTAACAGTGGCTTTTCATGTTCACAGACTTGATACAGAACCAGACCAACGAACAGAAGATCCAGGAGATGACGGTGCAAAGGAAAGGTCAGCAAACTTTGTAACTCCCACCTAGCCATCTCACTGGACACAGGAACGTTAGACCTGACTCTAGGAGAAGTCTCCATTGGTTTAGAATAAAGGACTATTTTAAAGTTGCACAAAGCGAGTTACTATATTTTCCTAGTTAACATTAAAATGTAAGTGTATTTATGATGGCAAAGACTGTAAAAAATAAATGGATTTCATTGCAAATTCTACTTCAGTGACTATGAAATTTTTTTCCCCAAGCAAAGTACATTCTAGCTTATAATTGCAACTACAGCTGTACTTGAAAAAGTAGTAAAAGGCATTTTAACTCTCCCTCCCTTCCATTTCTGGCAATGACTTAGAAATATTCCTCTAAAGATGATTAACTGCAGCTACAGCAGAGGCAGGACCACAATAACTAACTCAGCTCCTGTGTCATCTGCTGTGTGTGTAGCATGCAAATATTATCTTTAAACTGTGCTGAGTAAACAAGATCGAAAGCAAACGGAGAGCCTAGACCTGTTTCTCATCAGAAGCCTGACTGTTTTCTAGACCAGGTTTCCACCACGCAGACCCCACCTCTCACTCCTGTCAAGGAAAAACAAAACACTCTGTTAGAACACCCCGAGGAGGAGGGAGAAGAAAGCCTGAAGGATGAGATGCAGAAAAGGACATCCCAGCTTACAGCAAAGGAGAACGAGGTGAGGAAGTCACTGAATCCCCTGCTGGGGAGCGAGCTGCTGGTGTAAGTGCTCCAGCAGCACAACACAAACTCCTGAAAGCAACCCAAGCTTAGTATCTCCTGTAAGGATTCTCTCTGCTGAATTTTTATCCCAATACTGGCCTCACCTAAATCCCTGATGCAGCCTCTGCGTGCAAGGGCAGGGCACCAGCACAGCCCTCTCCACACAAACCCATTTCTGCTCTCACAAACAAGAGTCTCACCAGTCTTGCAGGGAAAAGCCAAAGCTTTAAGAGCTGAAGCCCTAAGCACAAAGGAAGGAGAGGAAGAAAAGGCTTGCACATAAGCAATGCCCTTACAACCAGGCTGCAAAAAAATTCAAAGCTTTCTAAAATATTACATACTCTTTC